GTGGATAGTTCTCTGAAGACGTCCACACAGTGTGCAGCAGCGGTCAAAAAAGCAAACAGGATGTTAGGAATCATTAAAAAAGGGATGGAGAATATCTTATTGCCCTTATATAAATCCATGGTTCGCCCACATTTTGAATACTGCGTACAGATGTGGTCTCCTCATCTCAAAAAAGATATACTGGCATTAGAAAAGGTTCAGAGAAGGGCTAAATGATTAGGGGTTTGGAACGGGTCCCATATGAGGAGAGATTAAAGAGGCTAGGACTTTCAGCTTGGAAAAGAGGAGATATGATAGAAGTCTATAAAATCATGAGTGATGTGGAGAAAGTGAATAAGGAAAAGTTATTTACTTGTTCCCATAATATAAGAACTAGGGGCCACCAAATGAAATTAATAGGCAGCAGGTTTAAAACAAATAAAAGGAAATTCTTCTTCACACAGCACACAGTCAACCTGTGGAACTCCTTGCCTGCGGAGGTTGTGAAGGCTAAGGGCTGGTCCCCACTTAGTCCGGACTTCGGACTAAGGTACGCAAATTCAGCTACGTTAATAATGTAGCTGAATTCGAAGTACCTTAGTCCGGACTTACCGGGGTCCAGACGCGGCCGGAAGTCTCCCCCCGTCGACGCTGCGTACTCCTCTTGGCGAGCTGGAGTACCGGCGCCGACTGTGAGCACTTCCGGGATCGATCCGGGATCGATTTATCGCATCTTAACCAGACGCGATAAATCGATCACAGAACATCGATTGCGTGCCTCCGGACCAGCCGGTAAGTGAAGACTAGGCCTTAGACTGTAACAGGGTTTAAAACAGAACTAGATAAATTCATGGAGGTCAAGTCCATTAATGGCTATTACCCAGGATGGATAAGGAAAGGTGTCCCCACCCCCTGTTTGTCAGAGGGTGGAGATGGACAGGAGGAGAGAGGTTCACTCCCTCTGGCACACCTGGTATTGGCCACTGTCGGTAGACAGGATACTGGGCTGGATGAACCTTTGGTCTGACCCAGTGTGGCCGTTCTTATGTTCACTTCCCCAAAGAAGGCCGGGGTGTTATACCCGAGCACAACGTCACAGTCAGCGAGCTCCCAGTGGCTGTCTCACCTCTGGGAGGGGAACCCAAACCCCACTCTGGCTAATCCAGGAAGACGCCCAGACGCCTCCAGTGGGGGCTCCCATCAGGGTGAAGAAGAACCCTCGGGCCTCGCAGTACTTTGAGCCAAATGCAAAGCCCTTTCCTTCAGCTCAGCTTCCCCTCCACAAGCTCCTTGCCTGCATGGGTCCGCTCCCTCGCATTACAATTCAATCAGTGACCTCCCCCAGTTTCTACACCTGCAGGTGGGCAAGAGAGCTTGTTTTTGGAATTGTTACTGGGTGGCACTCGGATACTGCACAGCCAGGAGCTACATAAGCACCTAGACAGCTGGATGGACTCTGCTTCCCCCCTTTAATTGTCACTTGCCCCAACTATAATCAGACTCATCTCTTCTGTCTCCCGAGAGCTCAGCTTGTCTCCCTTGGGGGATGGGAGGGGTGGCCTGGCCTCAGAGCTGGTGGTTTGGTTTTTAGTTTTGTTTTTTAAATTTTAGTTAAAATAATTTTGTCGTCCAGACACAACCTTTTTTTTTTTATCATCTTATGAGCCTTAATTCCCAGCTGGGAAGGCTAGTCTATGCAGTTGCACATGTGGAGCTGCTCTAAATGCCAGTAAATGAACCATTAAAAATGTGATTTAATTTGATTACACTGAGCAAACTGAAGGGAATAGTCAGCAGGGGGAACAAAGGGGTTTCTTAATGCTCACTCACCGCAGTGGCAGGCTCTTTGTTAATCAGCTAGGTCCTCATTGGGTTTGTTTGACCTTTGACCTCGGATGAATAGGTAGCCATGTTTATCCCCCTCCCCCACATTCCCTGACAAGAATTTCACCTGTCCGTGCCCCCTTTCCACTTTGCAAACACTCGGTTTCTGTTTGTACTGGGGAGGGTGATCCGCCCCATTCACCACACAGTGCACCGGTGGCTGTTCTCTGGAGCAGCGGCATTTCCTCCAGCTTCTGCTGGCCCCAGGAGCAAACCAGGGGTTCTCTCGGTCTGGCCTTTCACCTGATCCCTTGCTTGGCTTCAGGCCCAGGAGGGCATTGGGGGGAGAGTCGTCTGTGTGGGGCCGCGATGCCCTTGTCCATCCTTGGGAAGGAAAGGTCTCCTCCCTGTTTGATTTCCCTTCGCCCTTTTGTTGTAAGACTGTTGGAATGGAACTGCCCTCTGCGGTGAAAGTCACTAATCAGAACTGGTTGGGTGGCTTGTTTAGTTTGGTTTCATAAGGGGCTTTTGGGGCCCCTGTTGTTGGAAATCCCTTTGGAGGTTAGTGGCTAGCCCTGCCCCTAGGAGCCCCATGTGAATCCTTCCGTGCAATGCCCCAGCTCAGGAAGGCTTGGTCACCAAGTATCCAGGCCCGGCCCCATGCACTGACACCTACAATGCAGCATAGTGGCGCTTCCATTTCATCCTGGCTACGTATGGGAAAAGGGACCCGATTCCAGCCAGGTGGCAAGTGGCAGGAAATCCCAGACACCCAGCGCTGAGTGCAGTGAGATCTCAGCTAGAATATCGCCAGCCAGACTCCAGGCAGATCCTGTCATCTTCTCACTCCGGTCTGGTCCAAAGCTAATCCTTTGCCCACTTTCTGCTTTCAAGGGGACACATCTGATGGCACTGCCAGTGCCGCTCCATTGGAGGGACTGTTCCTTGCGGGCCTGGCTATCAAGGCAATGAGCGGACACGGAATCATAAAATCAGCCACCACAGCTCTTGCTGCTCAGAACTGCTAGTGCTGGATGTATTTCATCTCCTCTGTGCTGCTGTTCCCTTGCTGGAGGAAAGGCAAAGCCTGGGCTCTGATGCAGACTTGGTTTGCAGGCAAAGGGACAGAGTCAGAGGGAATATCCGTGGTAGTAGGAGCTGCATGTTAGTGAGTGTGGTGTGCGCGCTAGAGGATGGGTGGTGAAAGCAGAGTATGCATAGGAGAGCAGGCCTCGAATCCTTCCAGTGTCCGCACTCCCACTTGCTGCACTGGTTTACCAGCATTTACCTTGTATCCCATTGCAATCAGGCCCAGAGTCTCCTCCATCCCCAGAGTCTCCTCCATCCCCTTTCCTCCAAGAAGCTTCACTGAACAGAGGCCACCGTTGCCTCCGCACAGTGTCCGTACGTGGCATGTATCTCCTTCCGAGATACATCTGTATTCCCTGCCAATCTCATTCTCCTGCCCTTAGGAAGCCACGCCCGCCTCCCCTCCTCTGTGGCACCAGGCAGAGTGGCAACTGCAAGAGATCAGAGGGCAGGATGTGAGTTCACTATGAATTAAAACAACTCTTCCCTTTTCACCCTTTCCCAGGTGGAAATTCAAGTGTGGAGCGAGCTCCAGTGAGCCAGGCTGGCTTCCAGGGGCTACCTGCAGCATCTCTAGGCACCTGCTGCATTGGTTAGAGGCACAGGCCTTGACAGCTCCCACCAGAGCTGGGGCTCTAAATCATCACCTTTGTCCTTTCTTTCCCCCCTTGTCAGAGAAACCAGCTGTCGCTTGGCCTCTTCCTAACTCCCTCCTCAGTGATCAGCCCTGGCTGTAGCCCTCTAGCTAGGCTTCAAGCGGCGCTCGGGACAGGAAGCAGGCTGAGGCCTGCCTGCATCATCAGAGGGGGGAGTGGTGAGGCACCGCAGAAAGCGTGCTGTGTAATTCAAGGCGGATGTGAGTGCGAGCAGAGGGGAGCTCTTGGCAGGGGCTGTGCCGGTCCTGTGATACTTACTTCGGGAACTGGAGTGTGATTTTAGGATACAGGGGGCCGCTCGTCAAGGTTCCTTAGCGAGAGGGATTAGAGGGGAAGGCAGCCGGTGAAGCTTTCCCTTCGTATTTTTAATAAGTGACTGGCTGGGATGAAAAAGATCTTGGCTCCGGCCGCTCGCCATGAAAAAATAACCCCTTAATCCCTGTGTTGTCACCTCCCGAGTGAAGATGCGAAGGCAGTGGCTGGCGGCAGGGCCTTTCCCTGCTGCTGCCATGGGCCTAACTCTCTTTGTTTCTGGGAAGCTACGTTCGCTTTGAATCCACGTCTGTCTTGTTCATGCTTGCTTGCTTTCTGACCCCGAGCAGCATGAGAGAGAGCGAGGGGCTGGGACTGCGTCCCTGCCCGCATACGGGCTTGGGTTAGGGCCTACTTTGTGCTCTAGCCGAGCATGGCAGTTTTGTTCTGGAGGCTGGGGACAGGCCTGTGTTTTCAGTAGCTCTATGTTGCCTCACTTGTATTGTTGTCCCATAGAGTGAGGTTATGGGTCATGCTGCTCCCAGGGCTTTGGGCTGGTCTCTCGTCCTGTTATTGTGTTCTGTCTGTCTAACGGTTTTATACTGCCATCCATCACCTGGGCATCTGACCACCTTTCATGTAAAATCAATAGCAAAGTTGAGTGGACTTCAGGGATCTCTGGCACTTCTACTTCTGCCTTAGAATCATAGAATCATAGACTATCCGGGTTGGAAGGGACCTCAGGAGGTCATCTAGTCCAACTCCCTGCTCAAAGCAGGACCAATTCCCAAGTAAATCATCCCAGCCAGGGCTTTGTCAAGCCAGGCCTTAAAAACCTCCAAGGAAGGAGATTCCACCACCTCCCTAGGTAACCCATTCCAGTGCTTCACCACCCTCCTAGTGAAATAGTGTTTCCTAATATCCAATCTAGACCTCCCCCACTGCAACTTGAGACCATTGCTCCTTGTTCTGTCATCTACCACCACTGAGAACAGCCGAGCTCCATCCTCTTTGGAACCCCCCTTCAGGTAGTTGAAAGTAGCTATCAAATCCCCCCTCATTCTTCTCTTCTGCAGACTAAACAATCCCAGTTCCCTCAGCCTCTCCTCAGAAGTCATGTGCTCCAGCCCCCTAATCATTTTTGTTGCCCTCCACTGGACTCTTTCCGAATTTTCCACATCCTTCTTGTAGTGTGGGGCCCAAAACTGGACACAGTACTCCAGATGAGGCCTCACCAATGTCGAATAAAGGGGAACGATCACGTTCCTCGATCTGCTGGCAATGCCCCTACTTT